CACAGCTACTACTACATCTGTGAGTCCCCCGGGCGCGCGCACGGGCCACACAGGGACGCAGCAGGTGTGACGCACGTGCTCAGTATGAAGCCACACACGGCCCTTCCGATCCTGAATTGTTTTTAATCCACTCACGTTACACACGTGGTATGAGCTTCTGTGTACTGGGCACTCTGCCTGGCACCACAGGCACAGAGATCAATAAAACACTGCAGGGTCCCTGTAGCCCGGAAGGCTGGAAAGCAACACACATAGGTGAACGGACCGTTAGAACGATGAAGATATGGGCACAGGGGCCTTGGGAAAACGACCTGGGTACCTGCCAGGCTCAGGAGACTCAGAGAAGGGTTCCTGGGGATGAGGACCCAAGAGCTTAGGACAAGCCGAGGAGTTGGCCGGGCACGAGGGGACATGTGCAATGGGTGCAGGACATCTTCAGGGAACGCCATATGGTCGAGTCTGAAGTAGGAGGGACACTGCACGTGGGGAGAGGTGAGCTTGGAGGGGTGGAGGGGACAGGGCACACACCACATGTCACGGCGGCCTAGGAAGTGCTAAGGAGTTTGGACTCTGCCGAAGGCGCTGGAGAGGCGCTGGTGGATTCAGGAGTTAGAAAATCAGCTGTGTGTAGAATGGATCCGGGCCTCGCCTTGTCACTGGGGCCTGGACAGGGAGAATATCAGGCAGGGGAGCATATCGTGAAGGCCTCGGCCAACTCCAGGCTGGGAGCGGTGAGGGAAAGGCCGTGCTCCTTTTAGCACTGCCTCCAAAGCCAAGGGTCATCCCAGACAATGGGAGGTTGAGCAGGAAGCAGGAAGCAGGAAGCAGAAAGCGGGCAAAGGAAGGAAGGTGGGAATGAAAGATGAGTGGGAAGCGAGGGGCTCGAATGAGCGGGGCCGGGGAAAAAAGAGGTGGAGAAGTTTGCACTTGTGATTTCTTCCAACAGAGGTTCCTCCCTTAACACTCTGTGGGTTTATCTTGCAGCCAAACCCATCCACCACCAGGAAGACCAGTGCTTGAGGTTGAAGGTGATCGTCAGTGGCAAAATCAGTGAGTGTCAGAGCCCTGTGGGCCTCCTTCCCGCACCTCTTTGCTGATCCTGGGCTAGTGAGCCGGATGGCAGGGAAGTGCCACCAACGGCCCAGCCGGCCGC